TTTACTATGTAAATTCGAATTTTACTATGATGCAGATCATCCAAATTTTACTATGTTTTACAACCTCCTATAGATCGACGGGAAATGTCCTGTGACTGGTATTAGTATATTTTACAATTTTTTCTGTAATAATTCTGTATCTTTTATAATAATCATTTCATAGCAATAAAAATTATAATTCATACGAAATTTCTGTATGCAAATTTTTTATAGGGTTGGATCAATGAATACAGGATAATAACCATGTCTGATGCCAACCCTGATTACATATGTCAGATTTAATAAATATGTGCTCTTGCACACTTTCATAACTGTGGAATCCCCTCCATGGTGGGACACTGCATGTTGGATGACTTCGGGCTTTAACAGTTTCCTTGACAATGATGCAATTCCCATAAACTTGAGGGTTGCATTACTCCCTGAAATTCAATTCAATTGCATTGTTGTATTGTTGGAGAAACAGCTTTATGTGCTCATGGAATAAGAGAATGATTGAAATGGTTTAACTGTAAGTTTCCAGTAACCTAACATTGCATATCAAATTGTTTGATATTTCCAAATTGTTTAATGTTTCTGAGTTGTCAAAGTATGTATAGTTTTCCATATGAGATAGAGAGAGGTAGAAATCTCCAATGGTCATGTTGCTTTAACATTTCTTATAACTGTTTAATCTTATGTATTATATAAAAGACTACCACATTTATACATTTATACATAATAATTAGGCTATTATATAAAAAATAAAGACATCAATTAACCATACCAAATGCAACATGATGGACATTCATATGCTATACAATCACCAATATACATTTCATTTGAAGATTTAAACCACTATTACCCCATTTGGAAGGTGAATGGATGAACACTAGTTAACCTGTATTCAAACTTTGGAGTAATATAATCCTTTATCTTTTAAAATGTTTTCCATGTCAGATCATTGCAGATCATTCCTTCCTTGACTTCAGTATATAATAGTGAAAAATGTCAAAAACTAAACAATGTGCACTTTGTAAAGAAACTAAAACTGAAAGTTTTAGAACAATAAATGAAATTACTAAAGGAAAAGCTGAAGAGGATGCTTTGAATTTAATATAGGTGATTCTCTCTGCACACCTCAAAGGTTCGAAACATTAAATATCAAAAAATAGACTTAATACTAGTCAGAAAACATATCTACCAATAACAAAAAAATTAAGAAAATAATTAAATACTAATATATCTTCTTCAGAAATAATAGATTTACAAAATGAAATAGATAATTTGGGGCATGCTGCAACAAAACCAGACAAAGTGAACATTTGTATTACCAAGGATTTCAGGGTTCAAAATTTAGTCATTAGTATTAGTAATGTGATCATAATTAATAGTTTTATAATATCCCATTTGTTATCTTAAGTGATATATAGAACTATCCCTATATAAAAATAACAATATGAAGCTAATTTACATTAGGTCTACCATGGAACCCAAGAATTATAGTACTATCAGAAGTATTTTAAAAAGGAACAAGGTGAAAAAATTGCTCCTTATATTTTCAAAATAAATAATACCCAGATACTTGAAGCTTATCTAAGAAAAGAAAGAATTACCTATGAAATTTACCAAGATGAAAGAAAAATCATGACCAGTAAAAGAACACTAACACAAAACTACAAAGAACCCAGAAAGAAGAGAAAATCGGTAGAGAAATCTAGTTTAGAACAATATAATGAGTATATTTACACATCTTTTTATCATCACATACCATTGTAAAGGTTCCTAAAAAAAACTTGTTCACTTGGAAAAGAAGTTCTTTATTTAATTAAAAAATAATAATTTATTAATGGGTTGGATTTCTTTAAAGTTAAAAAGATTTTTTCATCCATTCTTATGAATTTGTATATATTTTTTAAAAATGAATTCTTTATCATAACTAAATTTGTGAAAGAAAGTCATGTTCCCATTTTTGAAAACCTATTAAACCTATTAAAAATTTTTTGTACATTTTTACAGTGTATTCATTAATAAAGAATTATGCGAAAGTTTCTTTTAACAATATAATAAAAAATTTTTATAATTTGAGAAATTATCTTAATTAGCATATTGAAACTATCCAAGAAAATACAATTAATTATTATTATCAATTTGATTGGTATTGACATGCTTTTTTTTTGGTAAAGGATGACATTGTGGGAAATCAATACTATCATTTCTTCTTTTCTGCTTCCCTAAACATTCCCACCTATTGTAAGCTTCTTGGATGTTGGTTCTATTAACAACTTCCATAGTATGGAGAATTTTATTCTAAATAAAATTAAATGAAAACATTGGACTTGAAATCATTGTAGCTGACAAAATTAGGAAAAGTGTTACTTATGCAATAAAATAAAGCCAAACCTTTGCATATAAAATTTCTATTATTACATCTAAGGTCATTGGAAATTTTTCTACCTCAGCATATACTTCTAAAGGTGAATTTCTAACATAGCAACAGATATAGCCTTTAGGATTATCAAGGTTAACCTTTAACATCAATGCTCCTGGTGCATAATATAACAATCATAAATTCCTTTTTCATATATTTGATACTCGATATATTAGATAACATTATATAATACAAACCTGCATGAATAAACCCTATAACATCAATCTTTTTCATTTTTTCTTCATTAAAATTGACTTTATCTGCAAGATTCCAAAATATATCTTTTAACTGCCGAGGAAGACTGAAACCACCTTCTTTGATTAATTTTGTGCCATTTGGTCCTTCCCAATGACATCCAGCCTCAGATGCTGCCCAATCTACTTGACGTGAACCAATGGACCTAATAAATGCATCTCCTTTTTTACCTATAATTTTACGTTGTGTTGGTGTAATATTTGCTAATGATCGGTTTCGGTTTTCACAATCTGATGTTGCTATGCCAGATCGTTCACCTCTAAATTAAGATATAATAATAGAAGTATATAAGACATCAACAAAGAAGCATATGCATCAAAGAGGAAGGTTTAGGATAATGAAAATACAGAGATTATTATTGTTTCTTAAAAAATTACTAACCCAACTACAAGCACATAAGGAATGTCAATAAATGCATTATCAATTGATCTCCACACATTAGTACGATACCATTGTTCTGGTAGGTCCAATGTTAATGGATTTGGTGTTTGTTCTAACAACCTCACCCTATAATGGTAAATGATTTTGGTTAAATAAAGGTTGAAGAAGTAACATACAGAGGAAAAGAATAAATATACATTAAATCCCTACCAATCTGTGACAGTGGATTTTACATAGTCATATTGATAATGTTTATTAATATCATATTCTTTACCAAGATTTTTATGAGGCTTGTTTAACTCTTCTCTGATATCAGTGGTTTTAGTCTGAAAAATTATTTATATTTAATGATTGCAAATGAAAAAGGGAAAAAGATCTTTTGTGCCCAAAAAAAAAAAAAAAAAAACCTCTGCAAAGCCATTAACAAAATCTATAAGTTCTGAGTTCAATGGTGGTGGATCTTTGATATTTTCATCACATATTTCTTTAATTTCACTTGAAGAGAATTCGGAAAAGGTAAATTTGTCTTCAATGTTGATTATAAAAGAATGAATTAAGCTGCAATACAATATTCATTAAATTAGAGATGAAAATTAAATGTAATGTGTGATGATTTTGTAACAGGACACCTACTGGTGAAAATTGCAACTTTTTCCTAATTGAAACAATACATTGCGAGCGTGCAATCCGAGTTACCTAATAAAATAGGTTATTTTATTGTTCAACACACACTAGGACAGTCCCTCGCCTAGGTTTTACAGTTGATTCTATTGTTTGACACACAGCCTACCCGCTGACTTACGGTCAAAAATTAATAAAATATAACTTTTATCCCTTTGGATAAAAGGTTCC